CAACCTGCTCAGCAGGAAGATGCAAAGTTAAATGTCACACTACCTCACAGCTATCAGATGACTACTATCAAAATAAATAACAGGGGTTGGTAAAGATGTGGAGAAATAATTCTTTTCTTCCCCCTACCCCATACAGGATTTCCCAGTAGCTATGGAACCAGTCCTGGAACTCACTCTGTATACTAGGCTGGCTTAAAACTCAACAGAGATCCACCTGCCTCTGCCTTTTGAGTATTAGGATTAAGGGCGTGTGCCATCACTGCCCAGCTAGGAGAAATAATTCTTGTGCACTATAGATAGATAAGTCTTCAAAGTGGCAGTCTAGGTGGAAACCATTATGACAGTACAGATATCATACAAGACAACAATTAACATTATATGTTTCGAAGAGCCAAAAGAAGATAGTCTTAAAGAAATTCTTGTTAATCTATGTTCAGAAATGTTTGTCCTAATAGCCAAAAAGTAGAAACAACCCAAAAAGTGTGGTATATGCATACATGAAATTATCACTCAAGAAAGGAAATTCTATAATATACTATAATGTGAATGAGCCTTAAAGATATCAAACTAAATGAAATAGTCCACTCAAGAAAACAGGATTACTTCACAGTTCCAATTAAAGAACTTGGAGTAGTCAGCTATAAAAACATAAAGCAGAATGGTGATTCCAAATGGTTGGTGGAGGGGAGTTATTGCTTCATAAGTAAAAAAGCTCCACCTTTACAAGATGAAGAGTTACAACCACAAGGCAACACCAGTTGCATGATGTTAGGAATGCCTCTGATTCCACTAACTAAAGCCTTAGAAGTTTGACTGAAGCCTTAGAAGTATTAGAAGGGTAGATTTTATGCCATGCATATTTTACCAACAGAAAGAAAAAAAGAGATGAAGAAAAACATTAAATAAAAAAACTGGAGGCACTGTACTAGTCTCAAAAGAACAGATCTCAGATCAAGTAAAAACAACAAAAATAAAAGAAAGGCATACATGAACCTATAACAATAAAGTATACTAGTATGTGAAGCAAAAATAAAGACTGCAAAGAGAAAATAAAAGGACCTTCTACCATAGTTGGAGTCTCCAATCCCTATTATTAAAAATGGACAGATCAAGAAGGCCAAAAATCAGAAAGAAGGATGAAACAAATAGCAGCAAATGGATACAATGCCTTCTACAGATTACCCAAGACAGAACACGCAATCTTCTCTTGCTCACAGGGAACATTTGCCTCTTGCTTTTTTAAGATAGGGTCTCCCTTGAAGTCCTGGCTGTCCTAGAGCTCACTATATAGACCAGGCTGGCTTCAAACTCACAGAGGTCCAACTGTCTCTGCTGAGATTAAAGTTGTGTGACACCAACACCCAGTGAATATTCACTTCTGATTCACCTACACTCTTTTTTTGTTTTAAAGATTTATTTATTTAATTTATGGATATGGGTATTCTGTCTGAATGCATATCTATGTGCACCATGTGCATCCCTGGTGTCATGAATCCCCTGGAACTGCAGTTACAGACATTGTGAGCTGCCATGTGGGTGCTAGGAATTGAACCCAGGTCCTCTATAGGAGCACCCAGTACTCCTAACTGCTGAGCCATTTCTCCAGTCCCCCACCTACACTTTTATAAGTTCAAGAGCAGTGACCAGGCCTGGAAGGTGTAGTTCAGTGCCTAGAACTCTAGACCATAGCGAAATCTTATTTATTTATTTATTTATTTGTTTGTTTGTTTACTTATTTTTGTGTGCTGGCAACTGAACTGCAGTTAGGCAAGAGCTCTATATTTTATTTACTCTAATATTTCACTGCAGGTTTTTTGCCATTTCTTTTACCTTTTATATAATATATCTATATTAACAAATAAATATATCACTGGTATAGAAATCAGTAATTTTTTTTAATCTCAAGGAAATTAAAATCTTCACAGAATTCATCCTGAACATTCTATGAAAAAAAAATATTTATCCTCAATGGTCAGAGTATAAAGTAAAACAAAAATTACAACCATGACATTAAATCTTATAAGCAACAACTGGGACTCCACCATAGCAGAAACTCCAAACAAGGCAGCAAAGGACAGAGACACAGGTTGACCCAGGGGCCTCAGTGAATGTGATTGTCTTCCACACACAGCACCTATTCTTTGACTCTTGGTTATACTGAGACACAACATTTATCACTTCTGAGAAACTTCCAAGGGAACTGAAGACAAGCCTGGGCTATTCTAGAAAAACTTGTCGTGTTTCTAGAAGGTCCTTCTACTAACTTTGTGGAGCTGTTAACATACTGTGTATTTAAACAGTCATAGCAAGAACATTCGAGTAAGTCTGTCTAACTCAAATAATACAAATCAATTCTGCAAGGCCTGGTAAGAGAAAATACAAGCTTGTTTAGAGAAATCAATGTTTTTACACCAGATATACACGAAGTATTTCATAAACTGCACATACTTTCCCCTCCATATTGGGAAGCAGAGTGTCCTGAATGGCAGAAAATACTACCACTGAGCTATAACCACAAGCCTATCAACAGCATCTTACATTTCCACAATAAAAAAGCCTTCAACAGGTATATTTAAAATGGATCACTGTAGGGCTGGAAAGATGGTTGAGTGGTTAAGAGCACTGGCTGCTCTTCCAGAGGATCCTAGTTTGAATCCCAGCACCTACATGGCAGCTCTCAGCTGCCTGTAACTCAAGTTCCAGAGGATCCAGCACTACCTTCTGGTCTCTTCAGGCACCAGATACACATGTAGGCAAAACACTCACACATAAAATAAAATAAAGCAAAATAAAAATAAAGTGTATATCAGCGCATAGTCATGACACCAAGAAGCAATGTGGTTGAAGTGTGGCTTAATTACAAATTTGAAAGATTCTATATGACCATAACCATGTGTGGCTAGTCCTCTATATCTGCCTTCCTACACATGAATCTTTTGCATTTACCTATGGTCTTAAGTTTAACAGGGTCAAAGGATAAGGTATCAGATCCAGAAATGGTACTAAAAATCCTTTTCTTTTCTTCTTTTACCCTTTTATGAGACTCTAACTTCCTTAAAAAAGGCCAGTCTTAAAAAAGGGGCTGGAGAGATGGCACAGAGACCTTCTTCAGTTCTAAACACTCACACAATAGCTCACAATCATCTATAAACTCCAATGCCCTCTTCTAACCTCCATGGGCATCAGGCATACACAGACATGTACAGGCAAAACATTTACACACAAAAAATAAAAATATATCTTTAAAAAGGTTAGGTGTGCTGGAGAGATGGCTCAATGGTTAAGAGCACTGGTTGTTCTTCCAGAGGATCTGGGATTTGAATTCCAAAACCCACATCCTGGCTCACAAACATCTATAAACTCCAGTTCTAAGGGATCCAATAACTTCTACTGGCCTCCAAGGCATACAGGTGGGGCACAGATACACTTGCAGGCAAAACATTCATACATTATCTGTAACTCCAGTGGCAGGGGATCTGATACACTCTTCTGACCTCAATGGGTGCTGCATGCATATGGTGTATACACACACACATATACACACACAGGAGGGCAAAATACCCATATATTGAAGGTGGGAGGGGAGACAAAGTAAGGAAGAAAACTTGTAAGCAGCTGAGAAGAGTGTTCCCAGTGAACTTGGAAAACAATTAATTAATACTTTCAATAAACAAAAAATATGCAATAGACATTCTTTAATCTTTTTTTTCCAGAATTAGGTAAAAGTTCTATTTAGAAAAAAAATGTAAGTTGGCAGCACCTTATACATTCATTCACCCAGATGAAAGGAGGATATAAACCACAAAACCCACAGACATAGTGTGGCTTTGACGACATACTTGAAAATGCTTCGAAGACATTTGTTAATAAAGATATTGCTACATATTCAAAATGGGTGATATGAAGTCTAACAAAACACAAGCATGAGTCTGGGTAGCTTCTGAGTACTTATAAAAACTGAACTTGAACCTTATTCTTCTGCAAGTGTGGTATTAATCTACCACCTGTGCCCCTCCCCAGTAAACACACAGGGAACCCATTTACTAGCCACGCATAATGTACCATAGCATGACCCCAGAGGACCAAGCCCTTCCCATGTCATGGCCCCACTTTCTGTCCCACTTGAGAATCACTGTGTTAATAAACTAATGAAGTTGGAAAAATTGTATTTTTGCTTGATTGGTGTTAACTTGGAACCATAACATAACATAACAAAATTTCAGCATTATGGGTGGTCAACAAGGCAAGTGCAAAGCAGCTCAAGAGGCAAAGAAGCCTAAAAAGTGAACTAGCTGGGGATGGTGCATACCTATAATCCTAGCACTAGGGATGTAGAGGCAGAAGGATCATTTCATGTTCAAGGCTGCCTGGTCTACATAGGATTTCAGGCCAATTTCTCTAAATTTATTTCAAAGTCTAAGAGACTACGTATATACATGTGGTGTTTTAAGGAGAAACTTAAAAATCGAACACTTCTAGACTTTTGCTGTTTTTCCTAAGTGAGCTCTTTGCAGGTTGGGTTTTGAGGAACCTCTTCTCTGCCCTACAGCTATATTTCCATACTCACAGATAAAACAATTTCTCTGTGTTTCACACTGGGCTTTTCTTTAGGCTTGTGTATTTGATAAAGTCCTAGTTTTCAAGCTAGAAAATATCAGAGGATTCAAGTTATTTTCAACTCACTTTTTCTATTATGTTAAGGCAAAAGTCAGGTCCGGAGTAGAAAAATGGACTATTGTCAAGTATCCTAGAGTTCAACCTGTTAGCAACATCCCCTGAAAACGCTCTAATTCTAGTGACTAAATCATGATTTTTTGTATCCCTATACACTGCAAAGGCTTAACATTACAAGAACTTCAGAGACTACAGCCAAAGCAAATGTCCCCAGTGCATCAGGAGCAGCCGCTGCTCTGTACAACCCACTTCTGTTTGTTGAAGTATGTGCTCTTGTCAGAATTCAAGTCATGAGAGACTTCAAGGCCTTTCCTAACCTGGCTTACCTTACTGTGTGTGAACGGGGGTGCTGTATACAAAGTGGGGTGGATGAGTGGTCGAGGCAGGTGTGGAACAGTGTGCAAGGGTACATGTCCGTGGATGTGGGGGTACAGGTGCAGCGCCGGGTGTGTTGGCTTCTCTGGGCTCAGGAACTGATGGCCAGGAGGCAGGGCTCCAGCAGTCATTGCTGATGCTGGTAGCCCAGAAGCTTCTTGTTTACAAACATGGCATTCACAAGTGTTCGGAGTTTGTTCCGCCTAAAACAACAGAAAAAGAAGTACACGAATTAAGCTACGGTCAGTCAGAACTATAGAGAAAACAAAGATTCAGGGCTCAGCCTGGGCTAACTAGAGCTCTCCACATGAAAAGGTACAAATGCCACAGATGGAAACAAGGAAGGCTGCAGAGGAGAGAGCTCAGCCTCATTTTCCAGAAGGGTATTTACACAGACAGAAGTCATTGATCAGGGACCCAACTGAGCAGCAACAAGGATTTCCCTAAAGATATTAGAAGGATAAAGCCAGGAGGGAACTGGAACCAAAGACAACAGGATCACTGGGTGGCTGGACTCTGCTGGGCTCCTACTTTTCAATCAACAGCTGCGATGAAACTTCCACCAAGAAGGGGAGATAGCATGCTAGCTGGGGCAGAAGGAAGAGACCAGTGAAACTTCCTTATCAAAGCAAATGTGAAACTGAAAATAGATAACAAAGATTAACACTTCAGACTCTAGAATTCAGTCAGAGTCAAACACTGGGACTGGGAAGTCTTTATTTAATGATACCCAGAACTTCAGGGAAGAACAGGAAGAATCTGGACTTCCTGTCAGAGACTTCCCTTGTTCTAGCTCTAGTGCAGGGAGCAGCATACAGGAAATGAGTAAAGAAGCCTTGCTACCAAGGAGAGCAGCTCAGTGTCCAGCGAGCTGAGTCAAAAAAAGTAGATGTCAGGTCTCAGAACTGGGACAAAGAGCCTAACTAAGGTGCCTATTTAACTTATCTATGCAGACCTGGCCAGCAGGTTCTCCCAGAATCCTTTAGTCCCTCCCTACCTGTTAGAGGGTACGGTTGACATACTCTTCTCCCAATTACACTTCTCTATATAATCTATCCATTTTGGTTGTTGGGCCCTTTAGGCTACCTTTTACTCTTCTGGCTCTCCTTTGTCCCCTCCCCTTCTCCTCACATGGCCCGGATCAGGGTCGCAGCCACTCTCCCAGAAGTCCCTGCCTCTGGCTATGCTCTCCCTCATAGCTATAATAAACCTCTATCACACCTAAAAGCAGCAATATCCTTCCTTTTTAGTTCTTTTCTCATTCAGTAGACTCAGTGGGAATGGACAGGGAAGTGAATGAGACAGAAACAGACCGGGGGAACTTTAAACGTGAAAAAGCCATGAAATACTCTATCCAAAGCTATCCAAAGCTCAGTGGTTGACTAGGAAGCCACAGTCTACACATAGTCATGACCTTCAAAAAGAAGCATACAAAGGAAAAAAACACCAAAGTTCACTGGAGTACAAGTTGAGCGAGGGAACTGTTCCCTAATCTACACACAGATGTGCTGGAACACAGAGGAACCTTCAGAAGAGATAAGGCAGCAGGGACTGACCCAATAAACCAAGCAGCCAGGCTAAAAGCAGAAAGGGGCAGCAGGGCATGGGTACACATCTTTAATCCCAGCACTCTGGAGACAGAGACCAGCATATCTGTGAGTTTGAGGTCAGCCTGGTTTACAAAGAGAGTTCCAGGAGAGTTAGGACTGTTCACACAAACTGTTCAAACAAACAAACACAAACAAACAAAAACAAAAAAACCAAAATCAAAACAAAAAGGAACAAATGAAACAAAAAAACAGACAGCAGCAGCTCTCTCACAATGTGAGTGATATAGATGCAGGCATTTAACAGCAATAAAGTAATAATGATCATGGAAAATAACAAACACAACCCAGGGGGACAGCAATCCCAAGGAAAAAGTCAGACTATAAAGTTACTCTATTGTCTAAACCAATCAATTTTCCACAAGAAAAAAAAAATGAGGCATGCCAAAAAAGGACAATCAGATGCTTCTGTATACTGTAAATATGTATTGTTCCAATTGGTTAGTAATAAAAACTGCTTGACCAATAGCCAGGAGAGAGAGAGAGAGAGAGAGAGAGAGAGAGAGAGAGAGAGAGAGAAATGCAAGCAGTGCCCAAGAAATAACATGCAAACATGCCTTTGTTAAAAGACTTGGCAACTTGGCAATACATAGATTAGCAGAAATGGGTTAATTTAGATGTAAGAGCTAGTTAGTTGTAAGCCAGAAGTATAGGCCAAACAGTTTGTAATTAATATAAGTCTCTGTGTGATTATTTAGGACCATGCAACGGGGACACGAAAGCATTGCCTCTGTTTACAGTCACTGGACAACAGTTCTTGGTCCACACATCAGATTGACACACAATGATGTCTAAGCAGGAAGAACAGCTTGTTCAGAGAATTAAGGATAGTGTTAAAACAAAAATTCTACATAAAGAGAAAAAAATAGATAAATCCGAAAACAAATTGAAGATGACAGAAAAAAGAATCTGAGAATCCCAGTAAACAAAAGAAATTACTCCTGTGTAAAATGTATCAAAAACTAGCAGAAGTGGAAGGACCAAAAAAAAAAAAATCCAGTATCAAAATGCATCTCTTAGCAATTGATAAATCTATATACTGCAAATCTAACCTCCATGAAGGTGGTATTAGGAGGTGGAACCCTTTGGTGGCTCTACCCTCATTCTTTCTTCATCCATCTAACGCTACTGTGGAAAGACGGCTGCTTATAAAGAAGCACACTGGTGGACTGAATGAGAGTGGCCTCCGTAGGCTCATATATTTAAATGCTTAGTCCCCAGTTAGTGAAACTATCGGGGAAGGATTAGGGGTTGTGGCCTTATTGGAGGAGGTGTGTCACTGGCGGTGATCTTTGAAGTTTCAAAAGCTCAAATCAATACCAGCTAGCTTTCTCCCTCTTCTATCTCACTGTGCCTTATGCTTAGGGATTAAGGTGTTAAGTTCTCAGCTACTGCTCCAGCACCATGCCTGGCTGCCTGCTGCCATGCTCCCCACCATAATGGTCATGGACTCACCCTCTGAACAATAAACTCTATCTTCTTTAAGTTGTCTTGGTCATCAGAAGAAAAGTAAGACACACACTACCAGACTAGGGGATAGGCCTTATTGTATTTCAAACTTACAACAGAGTCAACAGTCAAGTGAGCTGTGGGGTAGAGACCAACATAGAGACCAATAAACAGAATGGAATGTAGACCTGAATTTTTAATATGGGAAAATATGATCTTTAAAAAAAAAAAACCAGTTCTAAGTCTAACCTTACACCATAAGAAATATTGAGTCACAAGGCAGTGGTGGTACACATGTTTAGTTCTAGCACTTGGGAGATAGAGGCAGGTGGATTTTTGAGTTCAATGCCAGCCTGTTCTATAGAGAGAGTTTTAGGACAGCTAGAGTTACACAGAGAAACCCTGCCTAAAACAAAGCAAAACAAGAAATACTGAGTCAAACAGATCACAGTATCAGTCAGAGGTAAAGTTATAAATCTAGAAGAAAACCACTTTGCTTAAAACAAAACAAAACAAAACAAAACAAACATAAAACAACAGAACTAGAATGCACTGAAACAAAATCCTTGGGGGCTGGAGAGACAGCTCAGAGGTTAAGAGCACTGGCTGCTCTTCCAGATGCTCTGAGTTCAATCCCAGCAACCACATGGTGGCTCACAACTATCTTTAACGATATCTGGTGCCTTCTTCTGGCTATGTACACGTACATGCTAGTAGAACATTGTATATACATTATAAATAACTAAATCTTTAAAAACAAAACAAAAAACTCTTGTGTTTTACAGAAGATACTGTAAGAGGCAAGCACTAGCAGGTGTGAGGACCTAAGCTCAGTCCCCAGCATTCAGTTCAGGTAGACAACTCAGTAAAATAAATATACACCACAACTGAGAAAATAGTGCAAACTAGAACTTGCACACAGTACATAAAGAACTCCTGCAACACAGTAATAAAACAGAAAAGAAACAGTCTTTAAGCAAATAAAAGGTAAGCACAAGGGTTTACCATTTCTCATGTATTAATACCAGTAAAATTTCAAAACTATGTTGTGACTCTTTAGGGGACTGTGGGCAATATTCTGACCCAATACTCATTGCCAGATCAGTTCTATGGACACATCTGTATATGAACAGGGTGTTAATAAACTAAATAGTTTGTAATGGTCAAAAGGAAGAAACAACACAAGTGCTGGCCAAAAGAGTTAAAAAAAAAAAAAGACAAAACCCCCAACACTTGCATAGCAGAACAAAGTGAAGTTAGTAGAATCAGAGTGATGAGGCCTTAGTTTCAGCCCATGGTATTACAGAGGGTGGGAAAAGGAAGGACAGGGCTAAATGAGGATACAGCTCAGTGGTAGGGAGTTTGCCTACCATGAGTGAATCCTAGAACTCAAACTCTTATAATTTCTCAGACTTTACTCAAGATTCTAAATTATTTATAACCAGGCATGGTGTCCACACCTGTACTTCCAGCATTTGGGAGGCAACATGATAAGGAGTTTATAAAAGGCTAGACTTAGCTACAAGGTATACTTTGTCGTAAACAAACAAAATCTAAAACAAACTAAAATACAATAATAGTCATACATACAAACAAACAAACAAACAAAAAACAAACAAAAAACAGGGCCTGAGGAGATAACTCATCAGTTCATGTACTTGTCTTAACAGAGGACCTGAGTTCAGTTCCTAATACCCATATCCAGTGACTCACAACTACCTGTAACTCTAGCTCCAAGGGGATCAGACACCACTGGCTTTCCTGGTCACTCATGTGCACATGCCCACAAAAACACATGTAATTAAAAATAATGAAAATAACTTTTAAAAATTAAAGTTACAAAAATAAAAAACATATAAAAGCACATCCTTCAAAGACACGTTAAGTAAAAAGCAACATAACTTTTCTCATAAGACAGGAAAGAGTAAATGTTTGCATTTGCACATAATGAAACTAGTTATCTCCTGGGCCTAGGAGCTGAAGGTACACAGGTGATGGGACACAGATGGGGGGAAGATGATGGCAAGATTTCCCAATTTACTCCTTTTGATATCACCTTTATTATTTTAAACACATACTTACATTACTCATTACAATGACTAATTAGCCAAGAGTCTAACCTCCATTTGTTCTTCCTTTCATTTAAAAAACACTTACTGAACTAATAAAACTGTGAAGCTGGGTGTGAGAACATACACCCCAGCACTTGAGTTTAGGTAGAAGGGTCATGAGTTCAAGGTCAACCAAGAGTAAGAACTGTATCCAACACAAACGATAAAACCCATCTTTCTTCTACAGACAAAATAAAAGAAAAAAAAAGCAAAAACCTGTCTCTAAGCACAGAGTGTTATAAAACTAACAACAATTGGAGATCTGAGCAATAGCAAAAAGAGACTAAAATATGAGTTGTATATAATTTATAAGTAAATTTGTTTCTCTACAGTTCTAATTTCAGGAATTGCTGGAATTGGCATAATTTCCTTCTATTTACAGAAAATACACAAAGAAAGAAACAGAAAATATGAAACAGAAGATCTTACCTGCTGTGCTGGGTAGGATGGAGGTGGAGTGTCTACTTTACTCTCATCTGCCCTTGGGCTACCATTTCCTAGAGCCTCATCTTCTTTGGGTGCTCCTGGGGGCTCACCACTACTTTCACCATCAGCATCTTCATCATCAGCTTCTGAAGAACTATGGCTGGTGCTGCTTACCTGAGGGGACTTAAAAGGCAGTATTTTGTAGCTTTAGTTTTCAAAACAATAGTAACGTAAATGAAGTGTAAAGACCACCACATCTGGCATTTACTGACACCCATACCTCCTCATAAAAAAGTTACACCCATACCTCATCTTTCAGGGCCATGTTTTCCCCACCACCATTCAGTTCGCTGTGGATTCCATTCATGTTGGCCACCACATTGGTATCATCGTAGTTAGTCAACGGATAAATGTCAGCAAACTTAGCTGACAATGGTGCGACGTCTTCATCATCACTACAACTGAGGCAAGCAGAGACGGTCACCATGAGGCCCTTCGTTTGGGGAGGACAGTGAGGAGCACCCCCCACTGAACACGACATCTCCTCTAAGGTCATGGGTCTGTTCACGAAGAGTGTTCAGTGTCACTCACACTACTTAACACCTCTTAGTCACCTGAACACAAAGAAAAGCCTGGATGAGTAACATCTGTGACTTGGAGAATGATGGGAAAAAATGTCCCACAGTAGAAACGCTGGCATGACCAAGATGAATTGGTAATACATTTCATTTGGCCTGAAAAGCTCTGGAGTAAAAGTGCCACCCCCCAAGTAGACATTATTTTTATGGAAATGTTAAGATACAAAAAGTAACCTCAGGTCTTTTACAATCACCAAATGGTTAGATAATATCCAGCTGACCAAAGCTCCCAAGCACAATTATGTAACAACATAATAATTAAGTTAGCTATACTCAAGTCAGTAAATTGATTTGAAAATCAACTTCATCTATGCAATGAGAAAATGGCATGGTCACTGAAGAAAAAAAAACAGAATTTAAGAAAATCTTTAAAATATAACTTCCTAACATATGAGAAGAGCTACTGTAGATTAGGGATAACCAGACATGCCCACCCCAGTATTAGCTAAAACTTGCACCAATCTGTCCTTTATCTTGGCACACAATGATCTCTAAGAAGGTAAAAATCCTAAGGATCAGTCGTCTGCCTCCTAAGAAAAGGTTCAAAATTACAAGCACATGGTATTCTCTCTTTTGTTTTGAGACAGGGTCTTTCTATATAACCCTGGCTATCCAGGAACTCCCTATATAGACCAGGTGTTGACCTCACAGAGATCCACCTGCCTCTGCCTTCTGAGTACTTTCTATTTTCAAAACGAGGAACCTGATACACTTCACCAATATCTGAAGCTCACCAACAGGAGAAAAAAAGCACCCACCACCAAGGGAGTGTGTGTGTCTTGGCCAACAGTATTCCTGCAGTGTTCCCGCTGCCATGGTGTACCATGGGAAAACTGGTTCTGAAATGAAGTGGCCAACTCAGCCTTAAGCATGTACATGACAAGTGGAGGCTTCTCTGCCCCAGTAAGACCCACATTGCACTATACTGCAATGCCTGAAATGATGTTGCTGTTTCATCAGTTTAGAAACAGTACCAAGAAAGCTACATCGCAAGGATTTTCATTCACACAGGTTGATATTTGGAAGACACTAATCCCAAGTTGTTAGGGCCTTGAGTGTTGGAGGACATGAGTTACCCAGACCAACATGAGGGCAGTTCCAGTTCAGGTAAAAGGCTCCTGTAGCTGATGTTTCACTACTGATCACACATCAGAGTCCACTATTGATGATGGTAATTATGACAATAAGTGGGACAGTTTGATAAAGTTAATTGCAATTTCCTAACTTCAATTTTCCAGATTCACCTGCATGTTAAACTTCCACATGCCTGGTTAGAAACTGTATTAACAGATAGTGGAGAAATCCCTAAAATGCTTAAGACCTGAAAGAATAATCAGCAGAACTTTGTTCAATGAAGAATAAACTATGGACTTCAGCTCAGGCCTTTAGAATTATTATGTATTTGGGGTTGGGATAAGACTCAGTGATACAGAGTTCATATAAGGCCCTGGGTTGTAGTCCCCTAGCAACAATAAAATTAATTCACTGAGACCTGGAAAACAAGGATAAACATCGAAGGAAGAAAAAAATGAACACCAACATGAAAAATTCAAATGAAGTGTATGATGAACATTTCCATCAGTTCAAAGACTCTGAGGATCACGTGCAGCCAGATATAGTCAACAATCCCTCAAAATAGCACTTCTGCAGGACTAGTGATGGTTTCATGTTCAACTTACTTGACTTAAGAAACAACATAAAGCCCACTGGGGTGGCATATACCCTTTAATTTCAGGACTGAGGAGGTAGAGGCAGGTGGATCTCTGAGTGTGAGGCCAGCCTGGTTTACATAGAGAGCTCCAGGACAGTCAGAGCTACATAGTAAAACTGCCCCCCCCAAAAAAAAGAAAAGAAAAGAAAAAAATGAGAGAGAGAGAGAGAGAAATGAAAAAGAAAATAAACAAAATGCCAGGTGTGGTGGCACATGACTTTAATCCCAATACTCAGGAGTCAGAGGCAGGTGGATCTCTGAGTTTGAGGCTAGTCTGGTCTACGAGTGAGTTCGAGGAACAATCAACCATTCAAACAAACAGATGAAAAAAAAAAAGAAGAAAGAAAGAAAAAAGAAATTATATATACCCATGTGCAAATAAACTTATGAAGTCTCTGCAAATGACAGGGTCACTACTGAGTTTACAGCCCCTTGCTAGTATGAAATGCACTTCTTATAATGTAGGGATACAGAAAACACAAACTTTCAATTGCTTGCTAAAGTGATCTGAGTTCTTAGCAAGACATGGAACGAGCATGAACACTGAGCTGACAATGAAGAGGATGAACAGCCACTGTCCACCTCAGGTAGAATGAGAAAATGAGATCAGAACTGTGAGACATTTCCCTGCATACCAACTGGTAATTATAAATTCACATTTTTTTCAGGTAATAAAATAGTTTGGGTTTACTGATTTCATGTTTTACAGGTGCTTAACACACTGAAAGATCCTTTTTTTTCTTTTTTATAAAAAGCACTATAATGGTGATCATATTTCTGATGTATGTATTTATCATTACTGGATAAATTTCTGAAACTCTATTATAAAGTCACAACTTACAAAGTTGGTGCAGAGCCATTGTCTGTGAGGATGAGTCTGGGATGTTGCTGAATTGTGATGGGAGAGCTGGAACCTGACCCTGAGCTTGCTGATGACACACTAGGTGGGCGCATCTCAGAGAGATAGTCGGGAGCAGAATCCACTTGGAGTGGTAGCTGGTGAATGTGGATGTCATCAGTGACGGGGGGATCCATGATACCACAAGTGAGGATGTGTGAGAGGCTGCAGTCATCACAAGCACATCTGATCGGGAATTAAGGACAATTACCAAGAAAGCCAACTCTCAAGGTTGGGTTCAAACCTCTGCTTGTTTCAGTGTGGGTTGAAGGTCAATAGCACCTAGAGAGCCTAGCTCACCTTCGCCTGTAGTTGCAGTTAGGGCAGTCTGGCATGCTCAACCGAGATGATGACAACATGTGTCTCCTGGTATCCGTGAAGTTGTTCTCACCAGTAACTACTTTCTTATTAGTTAACTAGAAGAAATTATCAAACAATAGCTTAAATTTGCAAGATACTTCCCCCATTTCCTGCACCACATTTCAGCTATGACAGTAATCATGCTCACTTACAACCCAAGAGGCCCACCTTTTGCAGATGGACAAAACCAAAAGAACAGGACAGTAGTAGCCTTGGATTATGTAGGCAGGGTCAGTCAAATCAAGAGTGAAGCATCAGAAACCTTTTAATGTTCTGGTCTCCAGAAGACACACCATATGCATTTTTGCAGATAGCCATAAGGTAGAACTGTTGCAGACACCAAGTTTACTCAGTCTACTCTAGATACTAAGGACTTGTTAAGACACCAGAAATTGAGGCTCATATGTGGAGTAGACTGAACCTAAGAGATGTGTTGGTAGTAGCACCGGGAAGGGTGTGCCAGAACTTAATTGGGCCTATCAGCACATTCAGATAAAAGGGCCTCTGTTTCATCCCACTGGTGGGAGCTCAACTTCAATCTGATGTAATAGGTTAATTGGTGCAAAGGGGAAGGGGGAGTTCAGGGAGTATGGTCTTTGTACCATTTTTCACCAACTCCAACCAATATTATTCTTTTCAAGAAAGTATATGGAAGACCAAGAAACAAGTAAATGCAGTCAGTTTATCTAAAAGTTAAAAATCACTTTGTATAATGACTTTAATACTGGCAGGAACTGTCAATGGTCTTCACTGGTATCCTGTAACACAGAGCATGCTTACATATTAAGGTGTCACTTTTCTGTGCAGTAATTTGCCTGTTCAACAACCTTACCTGTTCTTCAATTAATCTCCTTTGCTTAAAAATCTCCCAGTCTTCTGTTAACATGCGCTGTTTGGTTTTCATTGTCATCTAGAAAGAAGATATAAAAATAAAAAACCTTAGTAACAACTACACAAAACATTCTCAAGGAAGATTCTTTTAAATGACTTTAAAGAAATGTATAGACAAGAAAGATTACCTATGAACAAAACAGAGGTGCAATATAAAAGAATGAGTCACCAGCTATTTTATTTCAGCCTCTTGCTTGACACTCATAATACTACCACAAGTACTTTACTCACACGGCAAACAGCCTCAGAGAGCAGGGTACATTTCCTGTGCTGAGGGAAGTAAGTGCTTGCTCTCAGGCACTTGACAGACAAGCTTGGTTGAGGACTCCTGGAGCTGATCTGTTCTACCCATATACATGACCTTCCTAGTTCTGAGAACATTACCTCTATTATTAACCTTTACCTATGTGTAATTCCAATAATAACATAAAATAAATTAGAAAATTAAAAAATGAAATATAAGACAATGCAACTTGAGAATTCAGAAGAAAATATGAAACAAACTAACCAAGGAAACCTCAAATGTCTGCCAATCCTCTTAGGCACATTCTCTATTCCAAGAACTAAGACATATACACCCCAGCTCACACCCCTCTCTCCCAAACCCCCAAGAGCAGCAGCTTCTCAGTTAATGCTAAGACTGCTAGCAGGACTGTGGGGACCAAAGCAAACACTAGTTACTGTTGGATGGGCTTTGTTACCAGCTGTCACCACAGAAAGTTTACTATCCCCACTACAGAAAGTTCTAGGTGCTGCACATGTTTAGGTGAAGTATAGAGTGCCTACATAACACTGGATTCCTCACACTATTGTGTCCAGTAGCAAACCCAGATTAGTGTAAGTGGTAGCCCTTTACAGGAGACACGAGTCATCCTATAACCTTAGCTGACTTAAACGAATCTTCCCTGGGGACAAAAGCAAGCTCTCCTATAATTGCTCTCAATGCAGTGGCACTTTGTGGCTCTCCAGCTCCTCATCACCTTCTATGTATCTTTCACCATTATGACAAGAGTTAGCCAGGCACAGGCTGGTGTGTGGTGCTTTGCTTTGGTTCTTCTCTCTCTCTCTCTCTCTCTCTCTCTCTCTCTCTCTCTTGAGACAGGGTTTCTCTGTGTAACTTTGGAGTCTGACCAGGCACACACTCTGTAGATCAGGCTGGTCTTGAACTCACAGAGACCCGCCTACCTTTGCTTCCCGAGTACTGGGATTAAAAGTGTGCACCACTACTGCCCAGCTTCTTTCTTTTCTAGTGATTTATTATTTTATGTGTATAAGTGTTTCGCCAGCATGTATTGCTGTATGCCATGTGCATGCCTGATGCCCAGACATGCAATAAGAATGTGTTGGATTGCCTGGAACTAGAGTTACAGATGCCTATAGGCTGCCATGTGGGTATGGGAATCGATTCTGGGTCCTCTAAAAAAGCAGCCAGTGTTATCAATTGCTGAGCCATCTCTCTAGCCACCTAGTCTGGTTCTTGACTGTCCACACAAGGTTCACATGCCAAAGGCTTGTTCCTTAGCATGCAGTACCATAAGAAGGTAAAGGAAATCTTTAGGAGGTAGCTCCCAATGGAAGCTAGGTTACTGGAGTAAAACCTTGAAGTGCGTATTAGGACCCCAGAGCCTTCCTCTCTGCTTCCTGGAGTCCTAAGGACCTTCTCCATCATGACCTTCAGCCATGTGCTGTGCCACCACAAGAACACAGCACAAGTCAGGGAATCTTCCTCTTAAAAAAGCTGGTGATTCAAGCCAGGCGTGGTGGCACATGGGCTATTAACCAGTATTCAGGAGGCAGAGGCAAGAAGATCACAAGTTTGAGGCTTGCACAGACTATAGAGTAAGACCCGTTACAAACAAATGACAAACTTGTATTCTCTCACAGTGATTGGAAACTGAGCAATGTCTTTTTGCCTTGTTGTTTCAGAGTACTAATGGCTCAAACCCTCACTGCTTCTCCCCAACTTTAATAACTTCAACTAAACAGTCATGTTCTGATGTCATGGATGTTCTCTACAGAGTTCACATTGTCAGCAGTCTGCCTTTTCAAATCTACATATTTAAAAAGAAAACAAACTTTATGATTTTGTATAAAATAGAAAAGCTCATGTAAAACTAAATATCATTTATGTGACTCTCTCATTGTCATGGTAAGAAGCTGAGCTGGAGTTAACTGTCAGGGTCCTTCACAGGATCTTAGAAGGCAGATTCTCAAGGAAGAGTTATCTTCCACTTTGGCTCCTCCCATTCCCGGACCCAGATCTCTCTGCTGCCAGAACAGCAGGGCTCAGAAAGCAGACTGGTATGCATATAGGGCTCAAAGGGAGGGCAGTTGTTTGCCCCTTTTCTGGGGTTGCCAGCTACCTATAGGGTCAAGACCTGATTCTTGAGGCTGTAAGAGGACAGCTCCAGCTGAGGCCCCACCCTTACTAAGCCTGTCAGCCTGGCCATTCTCCTGGCCTCCCTCCCCCAATCCATTGGCAGACCCTGCAGTTAATTAACCTGTTATAGTCAGTCCCCCAAACTGTAATCCATTATTCAGCTCAAGAAGAGACTTGTTCCTGGCACAGCTGGAGAGCAGATCTGTCTATTAAAACCAAACAGAAAAGATAACTTAGGGCCACCCCCACTCTAAAGAAAGTAGAGAGCAACAACTGCTTCCCCAGAAGGGTCAACAGTCTCAAATAGTAGGGAGGACATTGTACAGGCAATGACTATACAGACGCAATCACATCACAGCAGAATCACAGGTCTCGCAGCGTCTCTGGCCCCAAGACAAGCTTAGCAGCAGTGAATCTCATACAGTGACAAAAGTGGAACTAGTGCACTGATACCATGAGGGTCAAAGTCAGTAAACAGGGAGAGTTTCCTCAAATTCTGAAAAAGAAACCCCCCTTCTTAACCACTCAGAAGCAAACAGGGAAAGGAATAAGGGCTCAATCAGTATCTGAATGGCACAATGATCTTGGGCTTCATGTCAAACCAGCTTATATCTGACCCAAAACAGCTATCATGTCTGTTTAAAAATTGTCTTGCATGCACAACACTGGGCTGCCATTTCTTCCTTCCTTTCTCTTTTTCTTTCTTTCTTTCTTTCTTTCCTTTTTTTTCTTTTTCTCCTCATACCAGCATCTTTAAAATAATCTTTAAAACCTAAAGCCTTTTTTGTTCTGTTTAACCAGCAGGTCTACAAAGGCAGGGGGCCAGGATGAATGACAGAAATACCATCTTAACAACATGCCTGGTGTCTCCTCTGAGATGTAGTGGTCACTTGACACAGTCCCTTCAGAGCCATCTCCAGCAGACACATCCCACTTGTCCTGCTATCCTCTGCACTTATGTCTACTCTCTGTTTGGCAGTTCTGGATGAAGAAAGAATGAGCTCTCAACAGAACCATGATTGATAAATGGCTGCTGGACCCAAAATGCCTGGTAACTTCCTAATGTCCTTCATTAGCACACAGACAGTAGATACAACGTTTCTGAAGATCTAATTGCTGTTGCCACACAACAACAGCCACGTCAGAGGTCTGTGATATTGCAAGGTTTCTACCAGGGTACACCAAAGACCTATGTTGGGAGCTCAGCAACTCAAACTGTAGCTAGCAACTTGGCACAGAGGCCTCAGAGTGCAGGCTGTGCCTAGGGAGCAACGTTTACCTGTTCATCCACATAGGCATCAATTCTCTTCTGACACTCTAGCCACTCCTCAGCAACTTTGCGCAATTCTTCCTCAGAACGCTGGTACCTCTGCAGCAAGGTGCTGTATGTGTCTTCATTGCAAGTGTCATGGGTGGTGGTTCCTAGCCTAGGAGAGAGAAGACCTATCACAAAGGAAGAGCCCAGAAGCTCCTGGCCAGACAGAAGAACCTTACTGACTGTTGCTATTGTTTATCTTTATCATCCCTTTTTACAAAACCACATAGCAAAGCTGCTTCCTGGGCTTAAAAGATTATATACACAAAGCACTCTGAACAGAACCACATATAAAGGAGTTGCTCAGAGAAGTGATAGCGCCTGAAAAGAAACTAACAAGAATTCTAAAAAGGTATAACATATGGAGCTGTATACATATTTCTTATTAACATACAATGACCCCCCCAAAAAACAAAATGTTTAATGACAAATATAAAACATAGAAATGTTACAATTTAAAAATGCAGGTTTTGAAGTGAAAATACATTCATGTCAAGGAAAGGTATGACTGAAGCATGTTTAATAAAAATACATTGTGCATTAACACAAGAAAAATATGTGTAACAAAAACAAAGCTGTTTATAGTGTCTACCACTGCATGATTTTATCTGTAATAACCTAATGGGTTTTACTTTTTATAAATTTATTTTTATTTTATGTGTATGGGTGTTTTGCCTGCATGTATGTCTATGTGAGGGAGTCGGGTCCCCTGGAACTGGAGTTACAGACAGTTGTGAGTCATGGCATGGGTGTTGGGAATTGAATCCGGATCCTGTGGAAGAGCAGTCAGCACGCTTAACCACTGAGCCATCTCTCCCACCATGACCCCCCCAGTGGTTTAATAATAAAAAGAAATAACAAAGTTACTTTTAATCAAAAATTTTTCACAGGTAGAAATAGACAGAAGTCATTGCCAAAATCTTTTCCTTTTCCTTTCTTTGTCAGGGTGTACCACATTTGTGAACACTGTAAAAACGGGACTCACAGAAAATCTACTGGTTGCAAGGTCACCTGCACAGGTGTCCATCTAGGCTCTGCACCAATGCCTGGCACCACCTAGATCCCAAGAACAGTCTCACGTTGCAGCCCTGAAATAGGTTTTCTCCTGATTGCTACTGCTGCCAGCCTTGTCCTTCATTGAACTGATTCCAATTTTCAATATAAAACCCAATTCACAAGCTGGGCAGTGGTGGCGTATGCCTTCAACTCCAGGACTAAGGAGACAGAGTCAGGTAAGGTAGATCTCTGAGCTCAAAGAGAGTCTGGTCTATAGGGTGAGTTCCAGGACAGCCAGGATACACGGAGAAACTTTGTTTCAAAAAACTAATAAAAAATAAATAAATACCAATTCCCACATGTGGGTTGAATGAGAACTGTCCCCATAATCTGGGGCATCTGAACACCAGTCTTTAGCTGGTGGTGCTGTTTAGAAAGGTTTAGGCAGTGCAGCTTTACTTGAGAAAGTATGTTACTGGGGACCAATAGGCTTTGAGACTGAAAGTCTCATTCCACTTCTAGTTTGCTCTCTTTGCTTTATGATCACGGCTGAGATGCAAGTTCTCAGCTTCCTGTTTCTGCTGCTGTGCTTTCCCACCACTGTGAACTCTTATGTTTCTGGAACTCTAAGCCCAAATAATCTCTTCCTCCTATAAGTTGCCTTAGTTGTAGTGTTTTATCACAGCAACAAATAAGTAACTAAGATACCATAAACTTACAGACTGCCTTTCTTCCCAAGTGTTCTTTCTCCATTTCTAGCTGTTCCAAGTTACAAACACTATCTGAATCAAAGAGAGTGGGACCGACAGGAACCCTGCAGAAAGCATTGGTGATGGAATGAGGTGACCAGAGCATTCCCATAGCACCTCTATAGGACAAACAGCCTGATTCTTTAATTGGTAAAATGCCAGGAAAATAGGGCAAGACAGCAGTTGAACTCAGAGAAAAGACTCTCAAAGGATAAAGGGAACAGAGACCTTCTGTTTGGGGACATGAAAAATATTTTTTTAAATACACCGTTAGCTACAAATACTGTGAATAAAATTAATATTTTTGAAACATAAAATAGTAAAACTTGTATTAATCAGAAAATTTTAAACTAAATAAAATGGTACTGAATTGTAATTTTAAGTGGACAAATTACACAGTATTTAAATAATCCCAATAAAGTGGCCAATAAAACAAGTAGCTTTCTCATGTTTTGTTTTAAAATGTTATGGTTTGGATATGAAATATCTCCCAAAGGTTCTTCTGTTGAAGACTTAGTTCCCAGAGCATAGGGCTTTTGGGGGTGGCTGGATCATGTGGGCTCTGACTTTACCAATGGACTAATCCACACATGGGTTCAGAGTTTACTGGGCTACATATTAGAAACTAGTGGAAACTTGATGTACTTTATTCCTGAATCCTTTCTCTGTTTGGCAGTTCCACAAGGTGAGCAGCTTTGCTTTACCAAGAACTTCTGTGACGGACTGTGAGCCAAAATAAATCTTCCTCCTTAGAAGTTGATACCTGCAGCATTCTGTAATTCTGTCAGTGTTAGAAAGCTAACAGAAAGAACTAAGTTTCTATGAATAATGATAACTTTTAAGCAGACTGTTTAGTTATTTTGTGTGTGTCAGACCATTTGCTGAACAGGACAGGAAGAGTAGGAAACCTGCTGTCTTAGTCCGTCACTTCTATCTTTTTGGCTTGAGACAAGATCTCTCACTGAACCTGGAGTTCAACAATTCAGTTACACTGATTGGTCAGCAAACCCAGAATTCACTTGTATCCTACTCAATAATGGAGGTTATAGTTACATACATAGCTGACTTTTATGTGGGTGCTAGGGTATCAAATTCAGGTCCTCAAGCTTATCCACTAACACCCTCCCACCCTCAGTTGCTGTATATTTTTGTGGCAGGTATTACCATAAAAATCCTGACTGCCCTGAAACTCCTTATGCAGATCAGACTGGCATCTAAAATAATTTATGCTAACAAAATAATACAAAAAGACACATTAAATAAACTTAAGTACTGGCCATAGCCTTAATGTAGATTAAGCTACACTTGTGTTTGTACAATTCATATCCATATTATACACTATTAACTTTTTGTCCCTCCCCATTTTGAGACAGGGTCTCTCTACACAGCCCTGGCTGATTGTCCTTGAATTCGCAGAGATCCAGTTACTTTTGCCTTCCAAGTACTGAGATTACAGGTATGTGTCACCGGGTCTGGCCCACTCCATAATTTTTCTACAAGTTAAATAGGCTACGTAACTACGTATTTCATTAGTAATTTGTGAAAAAAAAGTGAGTTATTAAATGTATATTTATACATTAGAAATTCAAATATAAACCATTTTTTTGGGTTGACAAGTGAGTCTGTGGTGGGACACACCTTTTTAAAGGACAGCATTTTCTAGAATGACTAAGTCTCCTTAGAGAGCATGCTGCTTTCCCTGTTTCCTGCACCTCATTTCCTCTTAGAGAAATAGGGAGTGAACCCCCAAGTAAACATTTAAAACTAGGATACTATTCATCTTTGAAATCTGACTGTAATTCCCAGTGAGAAATAAAAATATTTGAAACTTGTGCCCAGAAAATAAATGGTTTCTGTCAGCCTCTGGAAATTAACTGGATGACAGATGCATCAAATCCAATATTCACCAGGAAAACAAAGGGCAGGTACTGAGGCTTCTAGCCATAAGGGAGGCACGGGTGAATTCAAGGGAACCTTACAACTTGGACAAAAACACATTCTTCATGTTAAGTTTGGCTTCCTTTCCTTCCATCAGAGTTGCAGTCAGATAGTCCCATTGTAGTGGACTCTCTAAGAATATCCAGATGCTTTTGACTTTTTAAATTGTGTGTGGGGGGCTGAAGAGATGGCTCAGAGGCTAAGAGCACTGGCTGCTCTTCCAGAGGACCTGAGTTCAACTCCCAGCACCCACATGGTGGCACACAACCATATATAATGAAATCTGGTTCCCTCTTCTGGATGCAGACAGAACACTGTATACAAAATAAATAAATCTTTTAAAAAAAATTGTGTGTGTGTGTGTGTGTGTGTGTATACAGGCATGTGTGCATGTGCCATAGGTAGCACATGAAAATCAAAGGACAAATGTGTAGGAGTCTTCTTTCTTTTCACCATGTGAGTTCTGGAAATCAAACTCAGGTCATTAGGCATGGTGGCAAGTGCCTTTACCCACTGAAACATCCTGACTGCCCTGTATTGAATGCTTTTTAAGAATGAGCATGAAAAGAATGGTTGGGAAGCAAACTGAGGCTGAGTGAAACTGGTAAAAATCTGCAAAAAGCATACCAGGTTTGTATAGCACCTTGAGCTGACCAACTACTTCTGAGGTGGTTCTTCTCTAAAAGTAAGGTTGAAGAGGACAAATAAAGGTGGTTGCTATTAGTGTGTGCCTACACTGTGGGCCTGTGCTTCTATTTGGTTAACAGACAAGAAACAAAATAAAGAGATGATCCTGAGGTAGCTACTCAGCTCTACTACGTAATGGCTGATGAAGGAGGGGCTGGCTGGAGAACAAACACATACCCATACTGTATGCCTCTATTTAGCATACTTCACCCCAACAAATGCCCACTAGAGAGTTCTGCACTTGTGCACTTATCTCGGTGACAGCAGAGAATCACCCATCAGTTATCCTGGGGAAAAGTGACATAGGCGCTCTACAAACCTAGATGGAAAAGCACATCTAAGCCTAGGAGAGACAAAGGTACTCTGAATCCCATGTCCTTCCTCCTATTTCACCACAATGCAAGAACCCTGACAGGATCCCTGACTGAACCAAGACCTGCCAAGGTAAAGCACTACTTGCTGGAGCTTTTATTATTTTATGAGGAGGCATTAAGGTGTTACACCTGAATAGCACTTACATTGGTTTACCATTTAAAAGTTTAACTGGGGGTTGAAGAGATGGCTCAGCAGGCTGCTCTTTGAGAAGACCTGAGTTTGGGTTCCATCACCAACATGGCAGCTTACAACTGTCTTTGACTCCAGTTCCAGAAAACTCAATGCCCTCTTCTGGCCTCCTTAGGCACCGTAGCATGTGATGCACAGACATTCATGTAGACAAAACACTCATACACATAAAATATAAATTATATATAAAAGTATTATATCTTAGGTTTAGAGCTTTCTGTCTAACTGTCTTTTTCTCTATGCCCTGTTATTTTTCCTGTAAGGACTTCCATGTATAGTGGTCTACAGGCATGAATACACACACAAGATAATAGGAAAAGAGAATCCAAGTCAAGACAAAATACCTGATCTGAGACACCAGTGCTGGCAAGTTGCTCTGGAGAAGCGGTTCTGAGAAGACCAGATTTTCAAATAGGTGTTTGTTATGCAGTTCCCATGTAACCTGGAACTTTTTCAAATGTTCATTTTCCTAGTTTAAAAGAAAAAAAGGTAACAGAAGATACAGTGAGTGGGTGGAAATATAAAGCTTCCTAGAAGGATGCCCCCGCCCTACCACCTTCTGCACAAACCTACAGTATCTTCTTTGTAAAGAGTCACTGTTCCCTGCTAGTATCAAAACATATCAAACCAAACCTCCAATTTCAGCAATATGGGTTGCCACCTTACTACATTCTAGATAGCCGCTACCTACCCCAACCCTAGACAAGGGTTATAGGTGGGCTCAGAAAGGAAAATGGGACAGCGGGTGGGAGGACCCTAAAACCTAGGACTGTCAAGATGGCTCAGCTGGTAACAGTGCTTGGTGCTACCCTGATGAACTTAAGTTCGATCTCTGGAACATGCATGGTGAGAATCACAAGCATGTACATACAAATATGTAAAACATTTTTAAAAAGAAAAGAAAAAATTACTTGAGTCAGAACAATGCTTTTCTTGCCTGTCTTTGTCAAAGCTCATTCTGATAGCTGCAAATAAATTCTTCACTGGCAACACTCTGGCAAGGAAAGAGCTTTGATTTCCTAAGAAACAGGAGCAAACTCATCAAGTGTTATTGAAGACATGCTGGGAGCCCACAGCAGTGCCACCAAAGCCCATCAGTGCTCTCTAACTCCTCTGGAGTGGATTATTCGCTGATCTTTTAGCCTTTGCATGTATTCTCAGCCTAGTTTTTCCTAAAAATGTCAGTAGTGAGAGAGGCTCCTCACTACATCTTCTACGCTACTCTGATAAGCCCCACTTCTGTGTCCTTTTGAGGCACATACACAAAGCTCAGGGCTCCTTTACTTTTTACCAATTCTCTTTTCAATCTCTGACTGTTTTCTGGGGGGTTTATTAATTTTTTATTATTATCTATTTTTGTCTCCTTTCTCATTGCTTTTGTACTACCAAAATTTAACTCTAGACCTTGAACATGTTGAACAAGCCCATTATACTGAGCTATATCCCCAGACCTTCCTTTGTTTGAGATAAGGTTTCACTATGTACCTCTGCTGGTATCTAACTTATAATCCTTTTGCCTCTGCATTCTAAATTCTGGAATTAAAGGTGGTATATTTGTGCACATGTGAAAGAGAAGAGAGATTATGTGTTCCTGAGCTTATTAGAAGTATGTGTATGTGTGATTAAGTGTTTCTGAGTTTATTTTCTGCCAAACCTAGAAGATCCCCTGTGATCATATTAATTCTTTTTTTTAAAAAAAAATATTTATTTATTTACTTATTATGCATACAATATTCTGTCTGCAGGCCAGAAGAGGGCACCAGACCTCATTACAGATGGTTGTGAGCCACCATGTGGTTGCCGGGAATTGAACTCAGGACCTTTGGAAGAACAGGCAATGCTGTTAACCGCTGAGCCATCTCTCCAGCCCGATCATATTAATTCTTGATCCATAAATTTAAATATATTTTATTTCCTTAGACACAATAATCACAGTTACTTTATACTTTCTGAAAATTCACCATCTTCAGTGCATCGCTTGTTATCTCTGCTTGCACTCAGGTGTATTGTCTTCAACTTTTACTTTCTGATTTTAAAACAAACAAACAGGAACTGAAGTGATGGCTCAACAGGAGAGAGTACTGGCTGCTCTTCAGAAGACCTGAGTTTGATTCTCAGCACCCATACAGCAGTTCAATCAGTAACTCCAGTCACACGGAAGCCAGTGCCCCACCCTGTACCAAACATGAAGGTGGTGCATAGACATACATGAGGCAGAACACCCATACACTTAAAAATAAACTACGTTTAAAAACAAAGAAGGACCAGCAAACTTCTCATTTGAGGGAAGACATTACCTATATACAGCTTGGACCAATGAAAAGTGACTTCCAACTTCTTAGGCATATCACAAAAATTTAGGGTCATGATGAGCACAGCTCTTGCGTTCCTTCTAGTACTCAGGTGATAGTATTTATGGGCCTGACATCATGAGCTGACCGACCCCATTCTGGATTAAACTGAGACCCACTTTTATCTATCCCAGGATCAGAAGAAATGCCTGGGTTCAATGTTGACTTGCAAACAGGTGTTGTCAGGATTCAAGTTTTGGCGTAGGTATTCTTTCTTCCCTTTTATGCCTTCTCAGCTGTATCTTTTATCTTCTTTTATATGAATTTCTAAACTTATCTGCTTTTCCCATGGAGGACAAATATTGCAGAGTATGTAGTCTATGCCATGTATTATCAAAAGGAATATTCTTACATGTAAAACGTGATCACACAGCTGCATGCTGTTCTTTCAAGTTTTAACTGGGGTCAAACAACAAGAAAATATTTCTATATTCTAAGTTAATTATTGTTTCACAGCTATTTCACTTCTGGGAATATACCCAAAGAATTTCACATCCTACCATCGAAATATTTGCACTCCCACGTTCACTACTGCTTCATTCTCTACAGCAAAGAATTAGTATCAACCTAATTGTCCACCAACAGATGACTGGACAGTGAAATTTGGTATGTATAACTGCATAGTACTTAGCTATGAAAAAAGGTAGTAACAATCTGCAAAAAATGGATGGGCTTAGAATACATATTAAGAAAGAAAAGGGCTGCATGATCTCTCTCATATGCAGAATCTAGCCAACAATATATGTATATACATAAACAAATGTGCATGTAGGTACAGTAAACCATGACGAAAAGAGTAAGAAAGGCTATTAAGAGATGAGAAAGTACTGAATAAAGGTAATGACTATGAGTTATGAAAGAATTTTTTTTTAAAAAAAAAGTTTTAACTGTCAGGGATTTTTCAGTTTTGGTGGTAGGTAAGTGCATGAAAATATATTTGATAGTAAAAGTATAATATCAAACATGAAGTTATATTTCTATTTTGAATGAAGTACACTGAAATGCAAAGATTTTGGCAATGGTTAATTTTGGTGTGTTACTTTTTTTATCTGCCCCAAGTTCTATTTTTGAAGGTTTAGTGATACCCAGCCTTGCACATATTAGGCCATCATTCTACCACAAAGCTCAAGTTAAACTCTGTTAACTTTGTAAGATGGAGTCATCTGAGGAGAGCTGGATATCAACAACACTTTCTGGGGAGCATGTGTTCTTAAAAAAACAAAACAAAACACAACAGCACCTTAACCAAGGCTGGTACTCTCTAGGGATATGGGCAGGTAACATGATTCTCTAGAGCAACAGCTCTGAGCCAAGTCTAGAATAGGCAGAGTCCCAACTTGAGGTGGAGAAGGGCTGAAAGGTACAAGATATACAATGGGGTGCACAGGACAACTGCCACTACCAGAGTCCTCACGTCCAGCTTGCCTTACTCACCTCACTCAATTTTCCCTAAACATATGTCTCACAAGCCTCTTCTTGGAAGTAGTTAGCCAGCACAGTGTTAGACTGTGGCAGGGAAACTGGATAGTCTGAGGCTGTTGCAATGTCTTGCTAAGTATTACGTGAACTTTTCTGGAGAGCCCCATTAATATCAGAACAAGATAAAGAACCAATGGTTACTGCAATTTTTCCTTCAAAACATAGCCACCACAAAGAAAGCTTTAAAACCCATCCACTGAATTGTCACTTAATAATCACATGAAATAATGATGAAGACTTGAAGACTATGGGAAGATGGGGAGGGACCATACTTGACGGGTCAGGGAAACAGCCTAGGTAGCTTCTGTGGTTGTCATTAGGATGCCTCTTTCTGTTCACCCAGAAATGGGGTGGTCAGAGATTCACTTATGTGCCCTGCTAGAACTCTAAGAACCCTGTAAGGAAAAGGCAAGGCAGCTTCAGTAAACCCATCCCATTCCTGCACTGCTGCTAGGTGCACACATGAAGACATTCAAGCAAGAAGTCCTTACATGTGCCTTGCATCAACTGCAACATCAGTCAGTGGCAGTACCTCAACATCAACACAAAACAACAAAAATGTTTTGGACTTCCTATCAATGCACCACGGTTTTCACCTCCATATCCTAATACCTAGCGCTTAGGTCTTTCCAAAAAGATTTCCATGCCGTGGCTCTTGGACATTAACTCTCTCAATGCCAGCAAAATGCCATTACACTAAGATTAGTCCCAGTCTACCTTGTGTGGAAAGGAGTATATGACCGTGCAAGAAGAACTTAACCGTACAATCAGTCCCCTGGCTGCATACACCTCCCCATCACATGATTTTGTTCTTTAGTTCACCTCAGCAGCAAAGAAAGAAGCAGGCATGGTTTCTCACCAGAGTGCCAAGAAATGTACTGATGGATCGTGCAGCCTGGCAGAGGGCACCATACTCCTCCAAGAGTAGAGAGACAAAATGGTGTGCCTGTGGTGGGCCCTGCAGGCCAGATGGTGCCTTGGCTTTTGCTGCAGCAGATAGCTGCCGGAGAAGGCGGACCTTCATTTCCAGCACATATTCTCGGGCTTGCTGCTCCAACCGCTGGTAGAGCTGATAGGGATCCCGCTCACAGAGCCTACAGAGACAAAGAAAAAGTCACCACTCAGCCATGGTTGTCTACACATGTCAGTTGACAGACAGTTTTTATGTCAGTGAGTGTCTTTTATTAAACACCTTTCTTGTGATGACCTGTAGGAGTACAAGGTAATTCAAGGAAAACTGACATCCCCCCAAATGCTTCCTTTGACTGCACTGTTTATGCAACCTGTATAAGGGACTCTGCTTCACTTCATGTCCACGAGAGAAGACCTAAGCCTAAGGTATTACAACTTACAACTAAGAGGCAAAAAGCCTCCCTTCTACTGTGTCTGAGAGCTAACCTCTGGTGCCAACACAATGAGTGGAACTTAAAAAGTGACATGCTGCAATCCTAGCAGATGTTTGGAGAATGGGGTCAAGTTTACCTTTCTTCTTTCTACAAACTCAGTATACCATACAAATGAGCTCATGTTATTTTCATAATTAGAACACGTTTTAAACAAAGGTCATTCTATTTTTAGATTGCCCACAAAGCAATGGAATGCATCCTTGTTAACTAGTCACAATGGTAATGAATTTCTGTCCAAACTTACAAGTGATACTTTTTACAGTTTTGAGAAAGATGACCTTTCTTCCTCAGCCTCCTAATGCTGGATTTAGGATCACGCAACAAGGTGATGCAATTTTTAAAACTTGCGCCATAGTATGTCATTACTATGGTTAAAGTTACTGCTGCTTTCAAAGGTACATTTCGGAGACGCCTCTAGATTAGTGGTTCTTAACCTGTGGGTAGTGACCTCTTTGGGTTGTCAAATGACTCTTTCACAGGGGTCACCTAAGACCATTAGAAAACACAGATATTTATACTATGATTCATAACAGTAACAAAATTACAGTTATGAAGCAGCAACAAAAGTAATTTTATGGTTGGGGGAGTCACCGTAACATGAGGAACTATACTGAAGGGTTGCAGCATTGGAAAGGTTGAGAACCACTGTTCTAGATGGAAGTTTAGGACCACGGAAGCAATAACCAAAACATCTAATGGAACATGTCACTATGAAGAATCAGCTGAGCTCTGTGGCTGTTGTAGAATATATTAAGTAAGTTTTAAACAAGAAATTCTTCCATCTTTGGCTGCCACATTAAATCTAAAGAGAAAAGCATAGTTGTTATCTGTTCCATGAAAAAAAAATTAGGTGTTGTGGAGCATTTTTAATTCCAGTACTTGAGGCAATAAGATCTCTGTGAGTTCAAGACAAGCCCGGTTTACACAGTAAGTTCCAGGCTAGCCAGAGTTACGTGATGAAATCTTGTCTCAAAATAAAGTAAAATAGTAAATAAAAAAAAATAAGCTAGATGGTGGTGGCTCACACCTTTAATCCCAGCCCTCGGGAAGGAGAGGCAGGGAGATCTCTGTAAGTTTGAGGCCAGCCTGGTCTACAAGACCTAGTTCCAGTAGTAGGCTCCAAAGCTACAGAGGCCCTGTCCCGAAAAACCAAAATAAATAGATAAACAGATAAAAAAAATAGGTGTATTTATTACTTTTATATACAGTATATCTGAGTTTATGAGTGTGTCTGAGTTTATGTGCACCTTGTGCATGCCCGAGCCCAGGGAAACCAGAAAAGGGTATTGTATCCTCCTGGATTGAGATTGAAAGATATAGGCAGTTATGAGCTGTCATGTAGGTTCTGGGAAACAAACCCAGGTCCCCTACAACAGCAGCAAGCACTCTTAACTGTTAAGCCACCTCTTCATTCCCTCCTGTATCCTAAGGTTACATATCACTTAGTTGTAAAAGATAAAGAGTCAAGCAAAACTGTGCAAGATAGGATGTAAAGCTATGTATACAATCTGCAACGTAATATGTAAGCCCTCGTGTACAAAGTACAAGGTGATAAATATGAAGAGCCATGGATACAATGTTCTCAGAGAAAATAAACTGATAGGATTCTCACTATGACTGCTACATTTCAAAAAGATGTATTAACCTTTGTAACATTAAAATATAGTGGTTTTGCCCCATTACTAGAGATCAAACCCGGTTTTTCACATGCTATGCAACAGCTCTACCATTGAGCTACCCAAGCCTTTGGTTTGTGGAGACAGGGTCTTACTATGTAGCTTAGACAGCCTTGAACTTGCTATAAAGCACAGACTACCCTCAAATTTATAATCCTTCCTTAGTTTCTTTGTCCTGGGATTAAAGGTATATATCACTCAGACTGGCAATAATTTTAAGAAAATGTGTTCCCTATGTTTAAAGGACAGTGACACAAGAGTCAAATGAGCATGGAGTAATTGAACTCAAAATACCACAGGGCTGAGAAAAAGGCTTAGTGGGTAAGAGCACTTGCTTTGCAAACACAAGGATCTGAATTCAAAGCCCCAGTAACCCAGAAAAAGGCCAGGTGTCCCTGAACATGTCTGTCACATCAGCATTGGGAGATGGAGCCAAGTAGTTTCTGAGAACTGGCTGACACCCAGCCTAGCTGAAAAGAGGTGGCTATCCAAAGCATGATGGCCAACCACGACAGTCAAACAGTGGGTTCTTCTAATTCAGTGAAAAGCCCTATCTCAAGGCAACAAGGAGGAAAGCAACAGAAGAAGACACCCTGCTCTCCCTGAACATACACATATCTACATACTCACGTGCATGTACCAAACACATACAAACTCTTAGAAAAGAAAGCCTGTAGACACCTCCTTTTAGTTTTCTCAGTGCAGTAAAATTAGAAGCATTTTGATTCTTTGTTCATTTTCGTATCTTATAAATTTAAGGAAAAAAACATATGATACTTTTGAGAACAGATTTTTTTTATTTATAATAAGATTTATTTTTTTAAAAAATATGTATTGAGTTTTGCTTGCATGTATATACGAGTGCCACATATGTGTCTGGTGCCCAAGGAAAAAGGTATTGGATTCCTGGACCTGGAGTTATAGACAGCTATGAACCACTAAGTGAGTGTTAGGAAACAAACCCAAGTCCTTTGCAAGAGCAGCCAGGACTTCTAATCACTAAGTAATCTCTCTCCAGCCCACGCAAACAGATTTCTTATGGGAAAAAGACATTGCAAGTAGTTCAACCAACCAATCATTCACACATGTTCATAGATGCTGCTTCACCTGGATTAAACCTGAGCTGATACTGTTCTAAAACATCACAGATGTAGCATGAAGGGTCTGAGATGTCATAGGTTTCATGTGCCATTAACTAGGAAACTTTTAAAGGCACTTACCACTTGGAACTGTCTTATATAGCACTAAGTAGACAACAGGTGAAATCCTGAACACAATGCTTTTGCCAGTCAATGCCCCTGCTTCTTTGATATAATCCAACGTATGGCAACTGTGGCTTTGTAAGATGCCAAAAGTATACAATCAACACATATAAAAAAAAAAACAAAATGAGAACCAATCCATAAAATATCAGGCTCATATCTGTTACCTTTATTTGGAACATTTCAAAAATCGGGGGGGAAAAAGGCACACTTAAGTTGTAAAGAAAAACAAAAGTGACACCCACCCCACTTTCTGTCAGTCACTGGGAAGGAGCCTGATGAACAGATGCTAGGCAGGAGCCATTCCCTATGAGGGCAGCTGCTGTGAACCTCATGAGGTAAGCGCCTTCATAAGCAACCCTATCTCCCAGTGCTTCAATGGACAGGAATATTCTGCCTTTCTCCCTGAGCTACAAATCCAACAGTGCTTATGAAAGTATCCAGCATCACATGGCACAACCAGGACTCTCTGGCATCTTGACTGTGTTACTGTCTGTCTTAATAAATGACAGAAACATCTCAACTTAGAAACAGAAGAATCTGCAACGATTTACCCAGAAGACTCATGTTGGTCAGTTGTCTGCTGAAGACCTGAGCTGTACCAAGAGCTCAAAAAGTTTAGCTGAGCTTTACTCGGGACAAGCACTGAGGCTCCATAGGCAGATGGGAGGGCAGGGATAGGATGGGGCTGTAACATGAAGGGGCAACCTGTACCTATCCACAAGCTCCTTCACTCCTTCTTTGTCGGGAACCAGGGACTGGTCCTGGTCTTCTGCCAGTGGGGTACCCGCCTGGCGGTATATGCATCGGACCATGTAGCGTACTTCTGACCAATAGTTTTGAAGCTGCTGCGGTTCCCGGTCTGTCTCTGCTGAGATGTCTCTGTGATAACATAGGAACCAGGAGAGTTAAGAGAGGCAGTCTACCTGCTTGCCACAAGGTACACCCTAACTCCATACTTTGACCCCAGATGGAACACAGAGCCCTTACTTTCCACTCTTTGGTGCCCACTTGAGTCTATCAGTCTGGCTATCCCAGTCCAGCAGTACAGCTTTTTTCTATCAGGTTCTGGCCTCTTCTTCCTTCAACTCCTAGCAGCCTCCATCATGAGTCCCACTAACTCCATACCCATTTATTTATGCTCACCTTAGGCTCATTTTCCTTTTTTAATTAATATTCTTTATCTTAAGTTAAAAATCTTGCTATGTAGCCCTGCCTGCACTGCACGGGAACATAGGTAAATTCCCCTTGCCTTTCAAGTGCTGGGATTATGGAATGAAATAACAGTTGACTTTTCTTTAAATTCTAAGAGTTCTTCTCCCACTTTCCTCTTTCTGAGGCCCAGCTTTCTTCTGTTTAGTTCCGCAAGATAGGGATTTTGTCTTTCTGTATATCATTCCTCATAATAGCAAGACCATGTCCTACTTTCAGGGGTATGCCAAAAAGGTACTGTTATTTATTAAAAGAACTCCATTTACAAGGCACTTTCCTATATTTCCTAGATACCCCGTCACCCCAGTATAAGCAGCACAACCAACTCAACACATACCTGCGCTCACTGCAGGCTTCACATGAGCAGGCATCTGAGGGCGTGGTGCCTAGCCCTGATGAGGTCATTGTCTGTGTGCCTAGGGCCAGCCTCCCAGCACCACTGGCCTCAGGCTGGGAGCTCCCAAGTGATGAGTGAAGAAGAAAATCTTGGCTCTGCTTTAAAAATAGAATACAACAGACCAGTTATGTTTGATATCAGATGTCTATTGACCTTTTAAAAAATGCCTTATAGAACCAGTTGGATCTGCTAGTTTGAGGCCAGTCTGGTCTTCTTGGACAGTTAGAACTACATATAGAGACCCTGTCTCCAAAACAAAATGCCTACTAAAAAATGTTACAACAGACACTAAAATCTATAGTGAACCTTTTTGGGGAGTCAAAGGGGACTAATGGGTGACAAAGTCTACTATACAGCAACACAGGCTGGCCTTGAGCTCATTATACAGACCAGATTTTCTTGCCTCAGTGTGCCGCACACTGGATAGGCAATAAACTCCAGATTTTGTCTGGATCAATGCTTTTCTTACTTCCAAAGGTTTTTACTATTACATGAGAGCATCCAATAGATTTTATTTTTTAAATTAATTTTATTTATTTGCTTATTTATTTATTATTTATTTGTGGGTTTTTTTTTGAGAAAGAGTTTCTCTGTGTAGCCCTGGTTGTCCTGAAACTCACTTTGTAGACCAGGCTAGCCTCAAATTCACAGAGATCTGCCTACCTCCCAAGAGTTGGGATTAAAGGTATGTGCCACCACTGCCCAGCCAGATTTTATTAGAGAGAAAGAGAGAGAGAAGGCAAATAAATAATCTTGATCCAGTGCCCTAATCAGCGTGTAATGACCCCAGCAGGCACCTCTAAGTGTGATATGCCCACACTGCCTGACAAACAGTGGCAGTGGGAACAGAACCTATGCAGTCTGCTCTGACCACCAACAAGGAGGTCTGAGAACACTATAGAACAAAGTAGGTTAGAGCACTGGAATACGCTCCTCAGAGTCCACAGCAGAAGGCAGCCTGCTGTGACAACATTCTAACATCGAGAGAGAAAAGCACTGAGGCATGGCATAGACTTCTTGAAGGGAGAGGGCCAGATGTGAGAAATGTACCTCCTGTACACCAAAGTAGTGATGCTTCTTAACCTGATCAGGTGCAAAGTACTGAGAAAGCCAAAAGGGGTTGAGTGTGCACGCACACATACACATACAACTTTATATCATCTTAGGCTACTGCTGAACAAGGAGCAGACACCTCAAGGCTAGAGTGCTCCAAAGTCTGGCACAGATCAGACTCCGAAGTGGAAACTCACAAGAGCTTTCTACCTAGCAGATAGAATAGAGAATTGCACTGTCACTACCACATGGAAGAAGGGGTATTCATCCACAAAGAACCCACACAAAGAGGTGCCGCACAATGAGAAGGCACAGTTAAGCATCCATCAGTCTAGCCTCCAGACCAGGGGAAAATACCTGGCATAGGTCAAACATCAAGTGTATATTATTCCTGCTATTGCAGTCCAGCCATACATAACCTAGAACAAGAACCTTGTAGCCAAAAAGCCATAGACAGTCTGACAAGAACCAAGACCCTGTATGTCTCTTCCCCAGGCCCCCTTCTCCACCCTGGTAGAATAGAGAAGGGTATGGGACATAGTCTCTATCACAGTGAGCCCCACCATGTCCACTATAGCTGTAGGAGAAACTTTGAATTAGGTGAGACAGTCAGGTTTTTATGTACACTAGATTTGAAACCTGAAATGAAATGATTCCAACAAAGTATAAGGTATGACTGCCATCATGGAAGTGTATAGAGATAAGTGGGCAGCACAGCTTGACACTGGTTATGAATCACAAGGCTGTTCCTCAACAGCAGCAGGTCAGCCACTTAGTGTACAAGGCTGACTATTCTCTTCTAGCTTATGCCCACTTCCACCCTCATCTCAAACTAGCACATTCACACCCCGACACTCAGTAGAAGCCTCTGTCATCTCTCACCTGGTGACTGTCAGGCTCTCTACTAGTCTCCATTTGCCTTTACCCACTCTCAAACAGCAGCAGAGAGAGTCCATGGAGTTCCCCTGCATACAATACTTCTGAATTACTTGGGAATACATTCCTTGTTTCTTATCAAAGTCTTCCATGTTAACTGGGACAAAGTTCTGCTTCTGTATCACTATTGTACCTGTTCCGTCTATAGTGCTCATCAACTAATCTTGGTATGCCTTCTGATGGTCTGATGGAGTTCTATAACTCAGGGCTCAAACAAAAAGATGTCCTACCCAGAAAAGACAATCAAGTCAGTAAGTCATTTTTGGTATTTCTGTTTGTTTACTTAAATATTTTTGGCCACTCAATTCAACATCCAACTCTGCCATGATGAATACACATGTCACCTGTGTAAGTAACAGATACAATGTTCAAAAATGGGCAGAGGAGGGCTGGAGAGATGGCTCAGAGGTTAAGAGCATTGCCTACTCTTCCAAAGGTCCTGAGTTCAATTCCCAGCAACCACATGGTGGTTCACAACCATCTGTAATGGGGTCTGGTGCCTTCTTCTGGCCTGCAGGCATACACACAGACAGAATATTGTATACATAATAAATAAATAAATATTTTTTAAAAAATGGGCAGAGGATGGTAGGAGGACAGTGAAAGGACTCCCAGGCTCCTTGGGTATTTCCTCTCCTGTTCATGTTACTAGACAGCTTTGTCCTCAAAGAGATAGAGGCTGAACAACATGCTCTCTCCAGGGAGAGGAGTTTTGATAGCACCCAACTGGGCCTATAGCACCCTCAGGAGCCTCTGCTCTCTAGCAGGTAATAATCAAATCTTCTAAGTTGGTTTCTTCCGGAATCTGTTCCTTCAGCTGCAAAGATTTGGCTGCTTTTGAGAATTACCATGACGGGTCTTCAGGACTCACTTCACAGATCTGAGTATGTGATGATCTCCCACCACTGGGTAGTTTCTTGTATTAAGATGTACATTAAGATGTATTTACTGACTGCTGGTAAAGTTCTGCTTGGCACACCAACCTAACCACCATGGTAAATCTCTTCTCTCACAAACTGCTATATGAAATCTTGCCTTTTCTTACTTTCTCATGTTTTTGTCTTCAACACTGCAACAGAAGGTGTGTGTGTGTGTGTGTGTGTGTGTGTATACCTTTCTACCTGCTCACACTGTGCACGAGCACTTACTGTGACAGGTGGCACAACAATCACAAACTAAAGTGACTTTTCTTAGTGAGAAGGGATAAGGTTAAGAGTAACTATATATTAAATCACTGAATATAGCACCTTACAGTACTTATTTAGGCTGAATCTCAGGTTCTGTCCAAACTGAACACAATTTTTAAAAAAATTAGACAAAATCCAATGGGCAATGTGCAATCTGCAATATCCATCTTTTTGCTTCTACAAAGCTGTGAACAAGATGCATGGTAAGCTCCCATCAACAACTACTGCTTCTGTCACTGTATTTTCCCTACAATCACAGACTGCACCTTCAAGCTGTGGGTCCAAATAATCCCCTACCTCAAGCTACTTCTGTTAGGTATTTTATTAGAGTGATAAACAAGAAAAGCAAGGGTCTCTGCTATGATAAACCTGACTCTGTGATTCAAAGGCCTTCAATGTACCTTTGTGTGAGGAATGTAGGAGTTTTGAGCTTTTGGGCTAGATAATCCTTAGGATGTATTTTGATGAGTTTAGACAATCAAAATGCCAAATTAATAAGGATAGTAAAGACCAAGAGAAACAAATGAGGAAGATAAGCAGGACCTACCTCTCCGTGGGAAGATGGTAGGTGTTAAGCACTGCTTAAAAAAACAAACTAACAAAAGAAAAAACTAAGATGAGTCTCTGTGACTCATCTTAAAGAAAAGAATGTAGTTCTCCGTTACTGTTACAGCACCATGCCTGCCTGCCGGCCACCATGTTGATCATGGACTAAAATGTCAAGAACAAAACATGAATTCAACAAAGCAAATTCTGAGACAACAAAACTATTATCTTGGCAAAAAGAGATCAAAATCAAGACAGCAGTTGGTTTAAAGCAAGAGTGAAGGTCAAGACTACCATTCTCTCCATGTTGAGAAAGTTCTTTCCTTTTCAGAATCAGGTAACTTCCCCCAAGTAATTTCAGGGTGAATTTAAACATTTAATTTACACAATAATTGAAACAACAAGAGGGATTTATGCATCCTCCTCCACTTTAACAATATGCAGTATCCTTAAGGTAAATGGGTACATAGAAAACAGACAGACATATACATACATACATACTTACATACATACAAACAGAATTTTAGTGATCACATTAAAGATTATTAAGTGCTAACATTAATAATTATGAATTCTGACAAAAGGGGAAATGGTTCAGTCAGTAAAGTGATCGCTATGTAAGCATGAGATCCTGAGTTCTACCCTGTGCCCAGAGCCCCAAAGTAAGAAGTCAAAAACAGTGGCACAAGCCTTAATCCTAGCACTGGAGAGTTAAGAGTCAGGAAGACCCTGAAGTACACTCACTAACCAACTTAGCCAAATGACTGAGCTTCAGGTTCAGTGAGAGACCCTGAAGTTTTGAGTAAATTGGAGAAGACACACAATGTCAACCTGGAGCCTCTGCATGCACATAAGCACACAGGAACACGTATGTGCATATACATAAAAAGGGTAAGATAAAAATTCTCATATTAATCATAATGCTCATTTGTGCTTACCTCTTTTGTCTCTGCCCCCTTTTAATATATATATTTATATTTATATATATAGTGTACACACATATATGTTATATACACACACAAACATATATATATATTTGTGTGTGTATCCATCTATCCCAGGGTTTTTGGTTTCTTTTTGTTGTTTTGTTTTAGATTTTTTTGGATTTTTTTTTTTGAGACATAGTTTTTTTGTATACCCTTGGCTATCCTGGAACTAGCTCTGTAGACTGGGCTGGCCTCAAACTCACAGAGATCCACCTGTTCCTGCCTTCCAAGTGCTGGGATTAAAGGTGTGTGCCACTACTGCCCAGCTCCATTTCTGTATTTTTATTGCAATATGAGATATAAAATTCTAAAGATTTTTGACTTTATTCCAAGTGTATTTTGGTACTTTCATCCACTAACTTATCCTTTTTTGCTTCTTTCCTATACATA